TAACCAGGAAATGGTTTCAATTTATTTCATGTTCTTGAAGGCATTTTAATACCTTGAAAAATGTGATGTTACCTTTAAAAATAAAAGCCATGATGTTGAACATTTGCATGTGCTTATCTTCCATCAGCATATCTTCTTTGGTGAAGTGTCTGTTCATGTACTTTGTCCTTTTTCTACTTGAATTTGTGTTTTTTACTAAGTTTTAACAGTTTTATGTATTCTCAATACCAGTTCTTTATCAGATATGTGGTTTATAAATATTTTCTCTAACTCTGTAACTTGTCTTTTTATATTTTCAACATGGTGTTTTGTCAAAAAATTTAAATTGATGAGGTGAAATTTACCAAATTTTCCTTTAATGGATTATTCTATTAATATGAAATATAAGAACTCTTTATCTAACTCTAGTTATAGTTTTACATTTTACATTTAAGGTCATGATCTATTTTGAGTTAATTTTGGTATAAGGTGTGAGTTTTATTGAGATTCCTTCTTTTTTTAATCTAGGGATGTTCGATTTTTCCATCATCATTTGTTCAAAGGCTATCTTCCTCCATTGAATTGCTTTTGCACCTTTCTCAACTGACATATTTGTGTTAAATGCTTTTTTTGCTTTAATTGATATGATCATTTAAGATTTTTCTTCTTGCCCTATTAGTGTAGCTCGGTGGTTGAGCATTGGTCCACCAACCAGTAGGTCATGGTTTAAGTCCTGGCTAGGGCACAGGCCTGGGTTCCAGGCTCAATCCCCAGTAGGGGGCATGCAGGAGGCAACATCATTGATGTTTCTATCTCTCTCTCTCCCTCTCCTTTCCTCTCTCTGAAATCAAGAAAAGTATATTTTAAAAAAGATTTTTCTTCCTTAGCTTGATAGTATAGTGAATCACATTGATTGTTTTTCAAATATTGAACCAGCCTTACATATGTGAAATAAATACCACTCGGTATATATATTTTTATATATATTTTTGGATTCAGTTTCTAGTATTTTGCGTGAGGACTGTTGTATCTAAAATCATGAGAGAGATATTTCTGTAGTTTTGTTTTCTATCTTTTTTATTCTATCTCTGGTTTTGATATCCAGATAATACTGGTTTCATAAAATGATCTGGAACTATTCTTTTCTCTTCTGTTTTATAGAAGAAATTGTTTAAAATCGGTGTTAATTCATTAAAGTTTGGCAGATTTCTCCAATGAAACCTCTAAGCCTGGATATTAATTTTGGAAGCTTTTAAATTACAAATCAATTTATATATTGGTTCTAGGACAATTTAGGTTATCTGTTTCATCTTTGATGTATTTTAGTAGTGTGTGGTTTTTAAGGAATAGATCTGTTTCTTCTACGTTATCAAATTTATGAGTGTAAATTTGTTTGCATTATTCCCTTTTTGTCCTTTTAATATCTGTAGGGATATTTCCATTTTACCTCTGATATTGGTGGTTTGTACCTTTCTTATATCAATTTTATTGATCTTTTCCCAAAGAAATAAGTTTGTTTTATTAACTAGTCTCTATTGTTTTTATTTTCAATTTTATTCACATCTCATCATTATTTCTTTTCTTTTTGCTATGTTGGGTTCATTTTTCTCTTTTTTTCTAGTTGTTTGAGGTATGAACTTTGATTATTGATTTGTGATGTTTCTTTTTTCTAATGTAAACATTTAATACTATAAATATTCTTCTCAATACTGCATTAGCTGTGTACATATTTAGTTTTGTTGTATTTTCTTTTTTAAAAATATGTTTTTATTGATTTCAAAAAGAGGAAGGGAGAGGCAGAGAAAGAGAGAGAAACATCAATGATGAGAATCATCAAATTGGCTGCCTCCTGCACGTCCCCTACTGGAGATTGAGCCCACAACTCGGGCATGTGCCCTAACTGGGAATGGAACCATGTCCTCCTGGTTTATGGGTCGATGCTCAACCACTGAGCCACACTGGCTGGACTAGTTATGCTGTATTTTCATTTTCATTCAATTCTATGTATAGTTAACCCTTGAACAATCTAGGTTTGAACTTCATGGGTCCACTTATATACAGATTTTAAAAAATAAAAACTGTAAATGTATTTTCTCTTCTTTATGATTTTCTTAATAACATTTTCTTTTCTCTAGCTTACTTTATTGTAAGAATACAGTATATAATACATATACAAAATATGTGTTAATTGACTATGTTATTGGTTAGGCTTCGGGTCAGCAGTAGGCTATTAGTAGTTAAGTTTTGGGGAGTCAAAACTTACACATGGATGTTCCACTCGAAACTAATATAAAATAATATTAACTATCAACTATAATTGAAAAAGAACAAAGTTATTTACAGATTTTTAACTGCATGAGGTGTTGGTGTCCCTAACCCCCAAAGTTGTTCAAGGGTTAACTGTACTTTCAAAATTTCTTTTATGAATTCCTCTTTGACCCATAGATTATTTAGCATTGTGTTGTTTAATTTCCAAGTGTTTGGAGATTTTTCTTGGTTGATTTCTAGTTTGATTCCATTATGGTTGGAGAACATACTCTGTGTGATTTCTTTTCTTTTGTATTTGTTCAGGTTTGTTTTATGAATGAGGATATGGTCTTTCTTAGCGAATATTCCATGTGCATCTGAAAGTTGTGTTTTATGCTGTTGGGAAAAGTGAACTATAAATGATAATTAGATGCTGTTGCTTCATTGTATTTTTAGATCTGCTTTTAAAATTTTTTTTCTTTATCTTTTGTCTTCGGAAATTAAATATTGTGTGTACTATTCTATTTGGGATTTTCTCAGTTCCTTGAATAGTTTATATCTTTTGCCAAATTTGTGAAGTTTTAAACCTTTATTTTTCAGATAACATTTTCAATTCCATTCTCTGTTTTCCTCTCTAATGTATCATCCTCTAATGTTATGAATGTCACCTCTTTTATTACTGTCCTCCAGAGTCCTTGAGATTTATTTTCACTTTTTGTACCTATTTCCTCTCTACTGCTCTGTAAATTCTGTTGATCTAGCTTCAAGCTCACTGATTCTATTCTCTGTCATCTCCCTAGTGTAAAACACTTCATGTGAGCTTTTTCAGTTATTTTATTTTTTAGTTCTATAATTTCCATTTGGTTACTTTTCATAACTTTTATTTCTTTGATGAAATTTTTCATTTGTTTCCAGACGATTTATAATTGCTGTTAGAGCATTTTTTGATGGTTGCTCTAAAATTCTTTTTAGATAATTCCAATATCTGATACCTCTCAATGTTGGCATTGGTAGATTGTCTTTTCTCTTGTGAGTTGAGATTTTCCTGGTTCTTGATATGATAGGTAACTTTCAATTCTATTCTGGACATTCTGTCTGTTATGTTGGGAGAATCTGGGTCCTATTTAAATCTTTTTCTCATTAGGCAGTCCTTTTGTTGAGGTGTAGTGCAAGGGTTGGGTGCGTTTGCATGTTCAGCTTCCCATCATACCCTCCTCATACCATCCCAGCAAAAGTGGATCACTGACTCAGAGTGCCTCCATGCAGATGAATGGTAGATGTTTAGCTCCACCTCTGCCCTGCTGACTACTTCCCCATGTAAGAGGGGCTTTGTGTGCCATACCACTTTATTGCCTCTAAGTGGGAATATAAGCTTAGCTCCCAGCTCAGCCCCCAGGTGGTCAGAATAAGGGAAAGTGGATAACTAACTCATACTGCTTAGTTGTTGCAGGGTAGAGGCAGAATTTCAGCTTCCTACTGAGTCTTACCTACACAAGAGGAGGAAGGAAGCAGAATGTCAACTACTCTGCCTCATATTGCTTTATTCAGTCTCATTGATGCTGGGTTGATATGGAAGCTTAGCTCTCTACTGGGCCTCACTAACACAGGCTCTGGGAGAAGGGGGATAGAGTGCTAACTAGCCCTGCCTCATTGAGTCTTGGTTTTTCTAGTGGGTGTGGAGGTTAAGCTTTCCAGTGAGCCTTACTGACATCAAGGGTGGTAGGAATTCGAGTCCTTACTAGCCCATAATTTCCTTATCTCTTCCTGTCTCAATGATGCCTGGTGGATACAGAGGTTAGATCCCCACTGGGTCCCACTGACACTGAAGACAAAGGTTGAAGACTAACAGTACTTAATGCTGTCTCACTCTACCTTATTGAGCCTTGGTTGCTGCTGGGTGGGAATTTTGGTTCAGTCTGTCACTGTACTGAGATGACAGTAGCCTGGTAGGAAAATTGAACATTGCCTGCCTCTGCTGGGCATGGAATTGGTAATTATCTCTCCAACCTACCCTGCTGACACTTGCCCAAGCAGAGAAATCAGAACATAGTCTGGTTCCACTCATCAGAGGATCAAAGATCAGCTACCTACTCAGCCTTTTTTATATCATCTGCTATGGGAATGGAAATGTTGCTTGGTTCTCTGCCTAGTGAAGGATGGAAGACCAGGTGCCTACTCAGTTTTGAAGATACTGTTTAGATCTGGAATGGATCACCTTGAGTGAGTCCTATCTCTTTGGCTACACTGATGCAGAATGTATATATCATGCTGAGCTGAGGTGGAAGAACTTTAGCCATTTTTAATGAGATTTAGTAGATTTTTGGAATAAATATGCATTTACTGTATTTCCTTAGGATAATTTCCATACACTTTGTTTGTTTTTTTAATATATTTTATTGATTTTTTTTACAGAGAGGAAGGGAGAGGGATAGAGAGTTAGAAACATCGATGAGGGAGAAACATAGATCAGCTGCCTCCTGCATGCCTCCTACTGAGGATGTGCCCGCAACCAAGGTACATGCCCTTGACTGGAATCGAACCTGGGACCCGTCAGTCCACAGGCTGACGCTCTATCCACTGAGCCAAACCGATTAGGGCAATTTCCATACACTTTGAATAGTTGTTTTTAAAATAATCTTTACCAGTTATGGTTTTTTGCTGGGAGCAGGCCTGAGAAATTTCTCATGTACTATTTTCCTCACTAAGTCCTCTATGTTATCCATTTAAGATCATTCTTTTTAAAAGTATGGTCATACTGCATTCTTTTTTTTTAGTCTGATCATAACTCCTGTGATGACATATCATCAGCTGGACAATCTGATAAATAAGTGGAACCTTGAATTAGAGGATCAAGAGAAGCACTCTCTTTATCAGACCACCCAGGTCAATTCTTGGGACCATACATTGATTGAGAATGGTGAAAAGGTTAGAAAATATTCTCATTAATCTACCTGCATTAGACAAGTATTTTCAGATGAACACAAGCAAATAGACCTGTGTTTAGTGGTTCATTTTCTGTTCCAATATGTTATCAACTTAAAAATATTTTTCTTAGATAATAAGTGCCCTGAATTAGGAACACTTTCATATTTGAAACGTATAAAGAAAATTAATACTGCTTTAAAATTACAATATAAATTCAAATACTTACATTATTGTATTCTTATTTTCCTTTATAGATTACTGTTTCACATGGAGAAGTGGAAAAAGTGAAATTGGATAGAAAAAGGTAGAATCTTACATTCCCTAGGTTGACAGGTTAAAGATCTATCTTTTCAGTGTTTTATCCTAATTGTAATTGATTACAACATACTTTGTCACTCCCAAATTCCTTTCACCAGCCCTTCTGTTGACTAATTTTTTTCCAGGCTAGAAAATGAATCGGATTTTCTCCTGTCGCAGCAGAAGGAAATAGAAGATCCCTGGATCCCTTTAGAGGAGTCTTTGAAGGACCAGAGTAGTTCTGTTTATCAGAAGTATGAAGACGAGGAGCATGAGAGGATGTAAGTCACTGAGTAAAGATAAGGAATGGGGCAGGACTCAGCTACTTAAAAAGAGAAAAATAATTAAAAGGTCAGGAATAAAAATTGGTAGGACAACTTGTGGTTGCCATTTAACAGTTTATTTTACTATTTTTTTGTTGTTGTTATTGACTGTTTAGGATTCTTGAATAAATTAATCATTCTGACAATTTTGTTTTACAGCATTTTATAGACTTACTCATTTCAAGCTTGGTGCGTGCTCTCCCTCCTGGTAGCATGCCTATGTCTTTTCCTTCCCTCTCCTCTTCCTGCACAGGCATGCATCTCCTAAACGCTAAAGGACCCCCCAGGAGACTTGCAATCAGGGGAGCAATGGGCAGCAGCAGCTTGTTCTGGGCTAACCCCCTGAACCTATCTCCAAGGCCCCCTTTTCTCTGACTTTCCAGTGAGCCAAAGCCCTGCCTAGTCTCTCTCCTGTTGCTTCTTCTATCCTAAGCCCTTCCTTGTTTCACTGTCCCCAACTTTAATAAACATATTCTCAAAATTTAAAAATTTCAAGCTTATATATGATCACTGTAAAGTTTTTATATTTGTCAACTTTGTTCTTAAATTTTATGGCTGTGTTGTCATAGTATTGTAGGATATTTATGGTCTGCTATTTATATTGACTTCCTTTTTTACTTTTTAATTGAATTTATTGGGGTGATGTTGGTTAATAAAATTATATAAGTTTCAGGTGTATAATTCCATAATAAATCATCTGTATATTGTATTGTCTGTGCACCCCCTCCTTTCATCACCATTTATCCCCCACCCCTTTTCTGCCCCCACCCCACTTCCTCTGGTTATCTATATTGACTCTTAAAACTAATGTTCATGCAATTACTTCAGTGATAAAGTATTTGCTATTTTAAAGGCAATTTGTTAATCTGGAGGCAAACTGCATTACTTTAAAAATTGAATGGTTTTGTCAATGTCTTGGGCTGCATATATTTTATTTGTCTTGTGCTGGATATATTTCATTTGTGTGCAGTGCAGGCTATGCCTTCGATTGGTATATTTCCAATGTTCCCACAGTAACTTATCCCTCTAGAACTGAGAGAAAATTAAGCCAAATTATATAGTGTTCTTAGGAGAATTTGTATGAATGTTCTATGTAAACTAGATTGAGATTAAATTGGACTTATTTTGTCAATGGCTTATTAGTGAGGTAAGACTAAGCTTATTTTTAAGAGTTTTGAAATTAATATTTTTGTAGGTTCGTTAAATGTACAGCTAATCTGTATGGACCCTTATTCTGTTTCTGCTTTTGTATTTCAGTTTTTGTGAATCTTTTGTTGGCATGTGATTCTACCCATTCTGTCATTTTTTCTTTGAAACATACAGAGTTATATTTTTGGCCAAGAGATCCTAACTGTAGTTTGAAGAAATAATTGAAACATTAGTGTTTTTTTTCCAATTGCTTTTATGTAGTTAGATTTATAATTTGATAGAGTCTGTACTAGAATCTTCAACAATCTAGGCAACCAATTACTTATAAGTACTTTGGGACAGAAAGACAGTACATAGTTATCAATAAATCTAATTGAATTTTTTTAATCTTTATAAACATTAAGGTTGAAAAACCCTCTGGTCACTTTCATTCTCATAAACATGTTGACTAAGTTGTGTGTATGTGTGTGTGTGTGTGTGTGTGTGTGTGTGTGTGTAAATAGTTTGGATGGAAATCTTAAAAATAGTCAACTAATTAATTTTTTGTGAACTTAGCAAATTTATCTTCCTTTGATTATTGTATTACTTCTCAAAACATCTTTTGTTGGATGATGGAGCATCCTATATAATAAAAGGGTAATATGCAAATGGACCCTAAAGGCAGAACTACCAGGAACTGACTGGTCGCTAGGAGATGCACTGACCACCAGGGGGCAGATGCTCAATGCAGGAGCTGCCCCCTGGTGGTCAGTGCTCTTCCACATGGGGAGCTCCACTCAGCCACAAACCAGGCTGATGGCTGTGAGTACAACTTCGGTGGCGGGAGCCTCTCCCATCTTGGTGGCAGTGCTAAGATGTCTGATTGCAGCTTAGGCCCACTCCTCATGCTGTCATTCAGACATCCCTCAAGGGCTCCTGGGCTGCCAGAGGGATGTCTGACTGCCAGCTTAGGCCCGATCCCCCGGGGAGTGGGCCTACGCTGGCAGGTTGACATCCACTGAGCGGTCCCCAACTGCGAGAGGGCACAGGCTAGGCTGAGGGACCACCCCACCCCCCACCGCCCAGTGCATGAATTTTCATGCACCAGGCCTCTATTATTTATATAAGGTTTTACTTTGAAAATTTATGTATTCAAGGTCATTGAAGTCATGTCTGCACTTACTGAATACTACTAAACACTGAATAACTCTTAATATGTCCTATGGGTTTATTTTGTCACCCAAAAGAATTCCTTTGTTTCAGGGCTCTTTTGCTTCAGAACATTAGCAAGAGGGTGAATATGTGACTGTAAAAATGGCAAGGTGAGTAAAAGCCTTCACCTATGGAGTATTTTTAGAATACTAGAGACTGGTGCACGAGATTTGTGCACTCAGGAGGTGGGGGTGTCCCTCAGCCCCGTCTGTGTCCTCTTGCAGTCCAGGAGCCCTCAGGGGATGTCCGACCAACTGAGGGAGCGGGCTTAGGCTGGCAGTTGTACATCCTTAGGGCTGCCATGGAGATGAGAGAGGCTCTCGCCACTGCTGCTGTGCTCGCCACCCTTGAGCCCAGCTTCTGACTGAACAGCGCTCTCCCTGTGGGAGTACACTGACCACCAGAGAGCAGCTCCTGCATTGAACGTCTGCCCCCTGGTGGTCAGTGCACATCATAGCGACTGGTAGTTCTGCCGTTCAGTTGATTTGCATATTAGCCTTTTATTATATAGGATGGCCATAATAAGGTCATGAATACTGCATTCATAAAAATGCGCCATTAGTCATAACTGAGACCCACTGAGAAGGTAGGGAAATTGGGGCAAATCCAGTTGGCAGTATCATTGTTGTATGTTAGTAATGATACATAAGTGGAGAAAACATTTGTTGCTTGTTAATCCCTTTACTTTACTTACTTTTTTAGTTACAAATTAACAGAAAATATAGATGTTCAGTTGAAACAAATGGCACAGGATCTCAAGAACATTATTGAACACCTGAATATATTTGAAAAACCTGCTGACACTATTGACCTGGTGTGTTAACTGCTTTATCTATTTAGACAACCAAGATTTAGTATGACATTAGCATTCTATGGTTCCTTTAGCTAGTCACCTTCTCCTGTCCTCTCTAGTTCTCCATATCTGCCTCTAGAGATATGAAGCTCTTGGTTATAGTTAATGGGACAGGAAATATTTAAGGGCAGATAAGGTTGAGAGTTCTTTGTGATTATCCCAGGAGAGTAAAAAAAATGACTTACCTCCCTAAATTGTCAGGGTTTTCTTCCTGTTCTTCACATAACTAAATCTGTCCCTGTACTTATTTTTTTTTATTTTTATTGCTTAAAGTATTACAAAAAGTATTACATATGTCTCCTTTTTTTCCCCCCGCCCTTGACAATCCCCTGGCCTCCCCTACCACCCAGTGTCTTATGTCCATTGGTTATGCTTATATGAATGCATAAAAGTCCTTTGGTTGATCTCTTACCCACCCGCCTCGTGCCCTCCCACTCTCCCCGGCCTTCCTGCTGTAGTTTGACAGTCTGTTCGAGGCAGCTCTGCCTCTGTATCTATTTTTGTTCATCAGTTTATAATGGCCTTTATTATCCAGAAATGAGTGAGATCATGTGGTATTTTTCCTTCATTGACTGGCTTATTTCACTTAGCATAATGCTCTCCAGTTCCATACATGCTGTTGCAAATGGTAAGAGTTCCTTCTTTTTTATAGCAGCATAGTATTCCATCGTGTAGATGTACCACGGTTTTCTAATCCATTCATCTACAGATGGGCACTTAGGCTGTTTCCAGATCTTAGCTATGGTGAATTGTGCTGCTATGAACATAGGGGTGCATATATCCTTTCTGATTGGTGTTTCTGGTTTCTTGAGATATATTCCTAGAAGTGGGATCACAGGGTCAAATGGAAGTTCCATTTGTAGTTTTTTGAGGAAACTCCATACTGTCTTCCATAGTGGCTGCACCAGTCTGCATTCCCACCAGCAATGCACAAGTGTTCCTTTTTCTCCACATCCTCTCCAGCACTTGTCGTTTGTTGATTTGTTGATGATAGCCAGTCTGACAGGTGTGAGATGGTACCCCATTGTTGTTTTGATTTGCATCTCTCGGATGATTAGTGACTTTGAGCATGTTTTCATATGTCTCTTGGCTTTCTGAATGTCCTGTTTTGAAAGGTGTCTATTTAGATCCTTTGCCTATTTTTTGATTGGATTGTTTATCTTCCTTTTGTTAAGTTGTATGAGTTCCCTATAAATTTTGGAGATTAGGCCCTTATCAGATATGGCATTGGCAAATATGTTTTCCCACACAGTGGGTTTTCTTGTTGTTTTGTTGATGGTTTCTTTTGCTGTGCAGAAGCTTTTTATTTTGATGTAGTCCCATTTGTTTATTTTCTCTTTAGTTTCCAATGCCCTAGGAGCTGTATCGGTGAAGAAATTGCTTCGGCATATGTCTGAGATTTTGTTGCCTTTGGATTCTTCTAGTATTTGTATAGTTTCCCGTTGTATATTTAAGTCCTATTTCCATTTTGAGTTTATTTTTGTGTATGGTGTAAGTTGGTGGTCCAGTTTCATTTTCTTGCATGTATCTGTCCAATTTTCCCAACACCATTTATTGAAGAGACTATCTTGACTCCATTGTATGTTCTTGCCTCCTTTGTCAAATATTAATTGAGCATATTGATTGGGGCTGATTTCTGGGCTCTCTATTCTATTCCATTTATCTATATGTCCCTGTATTTATTTTCCTGTTCACTTACTCATTAGCTAATTCATTCTTTCTTTTATATATTTATCTACATATTCATATAAATGTGAGAATAGATGTTTGAATCTGTTAAATCTATCCAAGTAATCTTATAATTAGGTTATATCTTAAAAGTTTGATAAGTAAACTATGTGAAACTTAAAATATGTTTTTTCCATAGAAACTTTGTTAAATATGGTCATTAGGTTTCCACCAGTCTCTACTTAACTCATAATATAAATGCATTATAGCCTGGAAAAATACAGTCAAAGCTCCATTTAAATAGTTGAGAAGTTTTGAATTAATTTGGCAGTAAAAAATGATTATTTCCCCTTTATCTATACTCTACATAAAGAGTTTATTTCCTCTACCTTTCTCTGTTGTCTTAGCAGCTAAATGGAGTCCTTCTTTTAACTCTGGCAGTAATGGTAATAGGAATCACCCATTGTGAGAGCTCCCATTGTACTTTCTATCAGTTGATTATAATTAGAGTGAAGCCAGGATTTGGGTAAATGAGAATGAATGACATAATACATGTGTAGTAATTATTTCTTTAGTAAGCTCTTTGTCCAATTATATACAGACACTTCTTTATCTACAAACATATTACTAACTTTTTTAATTATGAAGAGATAGCATGGTGTATTGAAAAAGCACAAGAATTTCATTTAAGTCACTTAATCTCTCTGGGTCTTAGGTCTTTCTTTTGCAAAATGTCAAGGGTGGACAAAATAATCTTATAATAAAAATTATGCCATTCTTTACTTTAGTTGAATCTAAAGTTGAACAATGGCAAATAAAAATTAGTCTGGTATTATCCATACTACCATCTCCCTGAGTCCACGCAGATGATCAAGAGTTGACATAACATAGGTTTTCTTTTTAATGAAATATTAGATCACTATTGTGATTCCAAAATTCAGAATTGTTCTGCTGTAATAGAATTAATACACAGATAAGTATATGCAGATTTAGGCATGAAATAGAGCTGATACATAGTCTCTGTGTTAAATTAATGTGTTCTAACAGATTAAGTAAAAGGAAACTGCAATCCTACCCTTATCCTTTTTCTCTACTTAGCCTTGGATTAGTTTAGTTTAGTTTAGTTTAGTATAGTTTAGTTTAGTAGTGGGGAGTAAATGGTTTGAGTCTTTTGTTTTTCCTAGCCATGGAGATTGAGATATTTACAATGAGAGAATTAAAGGATAATTGCTGCTTGATAACAGGACAAAAGAAGTGAAAAATTAGCAATAATTCATCTCTTTTCTCAGATAGCATAGATTTTTAGACAGTAAGCAGAGAACACATTTGTTGAACAATAATATTTTGTAAATAATTTATTCTGACCAGCTCAACCTATGGGCCATACACTAGGGTAGAAAAATAGCAACTTAAATCACAGTGATGAGATTTACCTCTTGATTTTGACTTTTCTTAGGGGGAGATGGGAGAGACCTCCTAATAGCTAAAATTTTTATTAAGCAAGTCCATATTATGGTGTATGATACTCGGTCACATTCACTTACAAAAACTCATTGTTCCTACTACAAATTATATTTGTTTGTTATACTAGAATACTCTAATTTGCTGTTGTCATTACATATACTGGTCTTTTAAGTGTGGAAACATTTTCATTTCCTCCTATTTTTAATATTATCCTGGACTTTGCTAGAAAATTCATCAAAAGTATTCTAAATTTTTTTTAATATATTTTTATTGATTTCAGAGAGGAAGGGAGAGGGAGAGAGATAGAAATGTCAATGATTAGAGAGAATCACTGACTGGCTGCCTCCTGCACGCCCCACACTGGGGACCAAGCCCGCAACCCGGGCATGTGCCCTTTGCTGGAATCGAACCCAGGAGACCCTTTAGTCTGCAGGCCGACGCTCTATCCATTGAGCAAAACCAGCTGGGGCTAAAATTTTTTAAATGTTTAGTATTTTTATTACAAAGTTAATATACATACTTGTTTAATGTATTAAGCTTAGAAAATATGGAAATCTGTAAAGAAAATTAAATCACCTGTATTACCAGTACTCTGCTAATATATTGGTTTATTTCTTTCAAGTCTTTTTACTATGCTAATTAAAAAAATACTTTTGTTTTGAACAGCTTTGGAAACATACCTATATAAAATTTTGTATTCTGCCTTCATTTAATATTCTTTCATGGTGTTTTCCCAAAATTATAACCATTCTTTGAAAATAATTTTTTTTATTTTATAGTTGTTTCAGGTGTATAGTATAGTGGCCATCCAATTATATAATTTACGCAGTGATCCCCCTGATAATGCTAGTACCCATGTGGCACCATACATAGTTATTACAATATTATTGACTGTATTCCCTATGCTGTACTTTATACTCTGGTGACTATTTTGTAACTTCTTATTCCCTTCACCTTTTATCCATACCCCAACCCTCCTTCCATCTGACAACACTCAGTTTGTTCACTGTAGCTATGAGTCTATTTCTGTTTTGGAAAACATGTTTTTAAAAAAAGTTTTAATATATTTTTTATTGATTTCAGAGAGAGGAAAGGAGTGGGAGAGAGAGATAGAAACATCAATGATGAGACTCATCAATCAGCTCCCTCCTACATGTCCCCTCCCGGGGACCAAGCCCACAGCCTGGGCATGCGCCCTGAAGGGGAATTGAACTGTAACCTCCTGGTTCATGGGTCGACACTCAGTCACTGACCTTCACAGGCCAGGAGGAACAATTGGTTTTAATGACTCTATAATTTTAATCAGAGGTAATTTTATCATAATATAATCATTTTTTTTATTGATAGAGATACTGTTTCCAAGTTTTTGTCATTACAAAATTGCCCTGGATAGATTCCTAGAAGTAGAACATACTGAGTTAAAAAGTATGAATATTTTAGCCTATCCAGTGTGACTCAGTGGTCGAGCATCAGCCCATGAACCAGAAAGTCATGATTTGATTCCAGGTCAGTGCACATGACCCAGTTGCAGGTTCAATCCCTGGTAGGGGGCGTGCAGGAGATAACCAACTGATGTTTCACATCAATGTTGATGTTTCTATCTCTCTATCCCTCTCCCTCCCTCTCTCTAAAATCAATTAAGAAAATATATTTTTGTAAAAGTATGAATATTTTAAGATGATATATATTGTAAAATTTTACATTTTGAAGGGTTGGATCAAATTATATTTCTATTGGTTGTATATGAATGTACCTGTTTTCCCCACACACACTTGACAGTTGAATATTACATTTATTTAAAATTGCTGATTTAGAAATCATGCCATTTGTGATAACATATGCTAAATGAAATAAGTCAGACAGAGAAAGACAGACACTGTATGATCTTGCTTATATGTAGAATTTAAAAACAAAACAATCCAAGCTAATACAGAGAACAGATTGGTTGTCAGAGGGGGGGAAGGGCAAAATGGGTGAAGGGGTATACAAAAGGTACAAACTTCTAGTTATAAAATAATTAAGTCATGGGTATGTAATATACAGCACAATGACTATATTAATACTATTATATTTCATATTTGAAAATTGCTAAGATTGCAGAACTTATACAAAAAAACTTCTGTGTAACTATGTATGGTGACAGATGTTAACTAGACTTATTGTAGTGATTATTTCACAATATATACAGATATAGAATATGTTGCATACCTGAATCTCATACAATGTTATATCTGAGTTATACCTCAATAAAAATGCTGATATGAATGAATAAAGGCAATATTTTAAATTTTTAATGAATTTCTTATCTTCTGAAGTGTCTCTTAATGTTCTTTACTTATGTTTGTACTGTAGTAGTAAGTTTCTTATTGAATTCTAAGAATCAATCAGATTTGTGATATTTGCAAAGTAATTAGATTAATATATAGATGTAATGAACATTATAAATATGAAATAGCAAAAGAAGCTGTTAATGTTTAATCAGTCTCAGTCCATTTCTTATCAGAAGAAATTAAAGTCACTTTCTAGTTTCAAAATTTTGTTTACTTTTTGTTTACCATATCATAAATTATAATCTAAATATCTTGTGTTTGTTTTTAGCTCAAACAGATCAGCAGAATTCTGAATGCTCATATGGACTCTCTAGAGCGGATTAGTCAGAATCCAGGTGGGAGTTTATTTGATTTCCAAGCTATGTGTATTGCAAATAGAAAATGTGATACAAGTTAGGTTTTGTGTACCATAAGCATACTCAAATAACAATTCACTTATAAGGGTATTGCTTAACTCATGGTATGTCTACATTAGTTCTAAAGAACTATAATTGCTTATTTTTATAAAATGAAACAGAATGATAAGGTAGGAACTAATGAAAATAGGGGATGTATAGAAATGTGGTGGGAGAGAGAGGGATAGAAGTAGGACTTCTCTGCGTATACTTTTTAATACAGTTTTGACATTTGGGCTATATAAAAGTTTAAATGCTCAAACATTATAATTAAGCAAAAAATAATGGGAAGAAAAACAAATGTTAAACATGGATACCAAATGAAACCAAACAAAAATGTATAACTAATTTATAACATGCAGTTCAGATAAATTTTGAACATAGTGTCCCTGATGGTGCATCCTTACTAGGATGTAATCTTAAGGATAAAAAGAACTGCAAAGAAATCTTAAATGTTCTTAATAGGTTTATTGTAGGTTTCAGAATTATAACATATACATACATTATAATATTAGTATTATTTTATATATTTTAGGATAAAGCAAATGCATAAGTATATCAGTGATAATAGAAACCAAGATTTTCATTTAAAAATAAAAGCTATATAAAATATTTTCCTTTTATATTTGTATTTTAAATTTTTATTGCAGTATGAATTCCTATTCCCTTGTTCTGTACATGGAAAAGACCAAGAAGCAATAACAGATACCCTGGTAGCCATGAGTATATGCAGCACCTGGGTCTTGGTTTCTAAATGCCATTCCCATTAAAAGGAATTAAGGCTACTTGGGGAAATACTTGATTTCAGGTCTCAGAAATATTTGATCCCAGAAAACAAAGATTATTCAAAGACTAAAGAGGTTTTATCAAGACCCAAGATTGTGTTGAGGGGCAATGCTAAAATGTAATTTGTGGTGTAAAGAAACGTTATAGTGATTTTTTTTCCCTTGGCTGGGATCCTCTTTGTCTTAATGAAATCTCAAGGCTCTCAAGCAGTGTTTTCTTAATAATAAAATTAAGATTGTTAGCTCTGCAAAGAGCTTATTTTCTATAAATTAAAAAACCGTATCCCAGAGAGGTTAAATGACTTTTCTAAGAACACACAACTAATTAGTGGCAGAGCTAGGACGAGAATCAAAATTTCCTAATTACTAGAACAGCATTCTTTCTACTGGTATGTTCTTAAAATAAATCTATTGTGGGCATCACTGGGTATAAAAATGAATTTTAGTCATGTACCTAACAGTAGAGGATGAGGGTATGATAATGGTAGTGCATTGGGTGGGATATAAGTTCTAGGTTCTCAGTCAACACAGGGTAAAAAGAATAAGACAGAGTAATTACTGAGAGTTACTTTTATGCTAAAAATTCAATTGAGTTGGAGAGGCAGAGAGATCTCTTATAGAGTCTCAACTGAGACATGTAGGCCATGCTTAAGAATGGGAAAAGGCCTGGTTATTCTTGATACTGGGCTCATTTTTGCTGTTCTCACACAGGGAAACTTTCCCTTTCATATCGGGAAATGACATGAGCAAGTAATGGAGAATGGCAGGGTTTAATTATGCTGTTTAAGAATGGTATGTGTGGGAGAAAATGGCAGAGGTATAAACGGACATGTCCTGTGCCTTGTCCTGGAGCAGATAAGGGTGAGCAGCTGAAACATACAGCCCGAATAGGCAGAGGATTTTCAGCTGAGAGACTGTCTGAAGCTGGGAAGGACCGAGAACTCCCAGAAAAAAAAGGACAGTTGGAGACTGTGGCTGAAACCTCTCTCGGTGCGCCAGCTCAGCAGCGGAGACTGCGCCATGTTGGGTAGCTGTTGCCGGTGTCCAGAGATCAGCTTCTAACTTGGAAACCCGGGATCTCAAGCAGCGTGACTGCGTGAACTCAGACGAGCACTGCTTCTTCTCACGGAAAGGTTAGACTTCCCCTAAAGGTGCAGTTTGCAGTTCGGGTTGGAGAGAGGACGGAGCTCGCGCGCGTGTGCGCGCGTGGGGTGAAGTCTGCGCCCCACAGAGTCCGCGGCCGTTGGGACCAGCGTGACCCGCGAGTGGGGAATGGGCCCCACAGGGCTGCTGGCAGAAGGCAACGCTAAAAATAAGCCCATAGCTGGACTAGATGTAAAAAAGCAGCCTTGGACTTTGCCAGTGTCCCGGCTGCTTGGTGCCAGGGGCAAGTGGGAGCGTGGAGACTGGGCGCAGAACTGGAAGGTGGAGGCTTTCGAATTCACACAGAGTATCAGGCTCTTGTTGCAGTTCCCCTTAGATCCGTGCATTTGATTATTAAACCCAGTGCATGGGATTCCCCAGTTGGGGTCATTCGCAGAGCCTGTAGGGGAAAGTTCTTTTTGGGGAGCCTGGGAAACAGAGCGGGCGGTAACCATTGAAGAAACAGCTCTGGGCAGTGGACTTTCCCAAATCAGTTTCAAATACCATAGAGAAAAAAAAAACCTACTGATAGAGAGGACTTATAACCTCGGAGGTCAATCCAGACACACTGCCACCCAGAGGCAGAGCCACGAACTGTCTCTTCTGTGATCACAAATAAAGGTAGTCTGGTAAACAAATACAACCTGCCTTAAAATCAGGACTGTGGTTTACGGCATGGAGGGACAGTGTATCGCAGGGAAATTCAACACTCTCCTGTATGCCTGGCAGGACTAAGGCGTGCCAAAAAGAAGAGTAGAAGATCTGAAGCACCTTCACTACTGCATATTTTTATATTTTTTTAATTCTTTTTTCACCATTTCATTAAGAACCTATTTTATTATTTTTTTATTTTTTTATTTTTTCATCACTTGATTTTACCTTTTTAATTACCACATTTTTTTAACCAATATTATTGCTATCATTTTACCATTTTTTCAAGTGTCATTTTATTTTTTATTTTTTTTATTTTTCTTTATTTTATTTTGGGATTAGTGTTCTACACTCTATTTTCAACATTCCCATAGCATCATTTCTCTCTATCTCACATTTACCCTTAAGCTAAAACTCTCTTCCTCATTTTTCCCCTTTTGCTGTCCTGTTTCTCTTACCCTATTCCTGCTTTAGATTTTCCATATTCCTTCTTTTTACCCACTGTCTAAATTTCACCCTACTGATATATCTAATTTCCAATCCCTTGCTCTAAATCCATATACACCTCTCTCTTATCTTTCTTCACTATCCATTTTTTTTTTCTCTCTCTCTCTGTCGTTTTGCTAGTGTTTGCTTGATTTTGAGTATATTAGGTTTTTTTATGCTTGTTTAGGAGATTGTTTTGTTTTTCATTTTCATTTTTCTGTCTTGCTTATTTTTTCTTTCTCTGGTTATTTTTGTGTTTCTGTTTTCCCTTGCCTTGCTTGATATTAGTGGTTGTTGGTAGTTTGCATTAATCTCCAGGGATCTGCTGCTGGAATTCATTGAGATTAGTTGCGGTTCTCTTAAAGTTTTCTCCCCATACAAATATCCTCTTCCCCACCTCTATTTCATTCTCCCTCTTACTTTTTGTTTTGTTTTGTTTTGTTTTTCTTTTGTTTTTCTTTTCTGTTTGTTTTTTTCTTCTCTCCCCTTTCCCAAGCTCATTTTGGCACTCCTTTTTGTTTTCTCCTTTTCTCTTTAATCTTTTTCTCTTTTTTCTTCTTTATCCCCTAATTCTCTTCGCTCAGGTGGTCACCTTTATTTGGGGTTATTAATATCGTGAATACATTTTGTTCAGTGCCTTGTACGTTGTGCCTTGTTGTGTTGTATTTTGTGCCTTTAAATCAACGCAGCAGAGAGAGAACTACATAACCAGACACCTGGAGAAGAGAGATCATGGTGAAACAAAGAACCAACCCACATATGAAAGAAAAACAGGCATCATCAGAAAAGGAAGTAAACGAAATGGAGGCAATGGAGGCAAGCAACCTGTCAGAGAAAGAATTCAGAGAAATGGCCATAAGGTGGATGAAAAAAATGGAAGACAATTTCAACAATATATGTAGGAACCAAGAGGAAATGAAGAAGAACCAAGAGGAAATGAAGAGAAACCAAGAAGAAATGAAAAATGACATCACTGCTATAAAGAACTCAATAGAAAGCATCAACAGTAGACTAGAAGAAGCAGAGGACCACATCAGCGAGTTAGAAGACAAGGTAGGAAAAAATACCCAAACAGAACAGCTTCTAGAAAAAAAAATTAAAAAGCAGGAGGAGAGCCTAAGAGAACTCTGGGACAACGCTAAACGAAACAACATCCGAATAATAGGGGTGCCAGAAGGAGAGGAAACTGAGCAAGGAATAGAAAACCTGTTTGAAAAAATAGTAACAGAAAATTTCCCTGATATAGGGAAGAAAAAACTCACACAAATCCAAGAAGCTCACAGAGTCCCAAACAAAATGAATCCGAAAAGACCGACGCCAAGGCACATAATAATTAAATTGGCAAACACCAACAACAAAGCAAGAATCTTAAAAGCAGCAAGAGAGAGACAGAAAGTTACCTACAAAGGATCCCCCATCAGACTAGCGACCGATTTCTCAACAGAAACACATCAGGCAAGAAGGGAATGGAATGAAATATACAAAGTCATGCAAAGGAAGGGTCTGAATCCAAGAATACTGTACCCAGTGAGGCTATCAATCAAAATTGAGGGTCAAATCAGGAGCTTCACAGACAAAAACGGTCTACGGGAGTTTATTACAACCAAGCCAGCAATGCAAGAAATGCTAAAGGGTCTGCTGTAAATAGAAAAAATAGGAAACAAAGAAGGAACGCAGCGGTAAAGAACAAAAATGGTGACTAACAAGTTTCTATCAATAATAACTTTAAATGTAAATGGATTAAATTCCCCAGTCAAAAGGCATAGGGTAAATGAGTGGATAAGAAAACATGACCCATATATCTGCTGTCTACAGGAAACCCACCTCAGAAAAAAAGACGCACACAGACTGATGGTGAAGGGATGGAAAAAGGTT